ATTTTGTAAGTAGGTATAGCAAGAAAGTATCGTGAGTTTTTTCTTTTACAGAAAATAACTACTTAGTAAAGTGAATTAACTGAGCGCAGAATTTTAGAAATGTGACCAGTAGATCCGTGGATTATGCCCAACATACAAACTTACAAATTTTACCTCTTTATAATATTAGTAAAGTTAATTAGAGTAGAATAGTTTTAACAATGCCTACAGACTGAATTTTAAATTGATGTTTCCAAAGCATTGTAAATTCAGATATTTTACTTATTGATGAATTCTTATCATTTGTATTATTTGAGCTTATCCTGAAATTCTCTTAATTTGTGCATGTATTAATGTAAGAGTAAGCCGTGTTTCGGCTCGACCGGAATTTTACCGTGGCCTTACAAGAAACCGGTGAGAAACAACCCAATGTTGTGTTTCGCCGTATGAACGAGGTTACCGAAGGCCCAATCGTTTGGTTGCCCTCCTCCAATGTTTTAATCTCCGAAACACTAATCCCCAAAAAGTCGATAGCGCACTCGTTACTCTTTTGTTGTTACGGATGTTCATGAGCAACGCCGATGGTGTACCTACCATCAGGTAATCTGACTAATCGTAAGCCGACCATATAAAAAAAATGCAAGAAACCATATTTAAAAAAAAATGGCCTTTATCATTTCGCTTCCTTTAATGACTAGAATTCGTATACCTAATCCGTAAAACACAGCTATAAAGCCTGTTTCCCACGGCACGTACACTAACATTGTTTGTCTGCCACCAAGTAGAAAATAAACAAAAAGCCTGGAAACGCGAACGTTTGCAGGCGAGGCGGGCATCCCCACCGCTGACACCATAAATAATAGAGTCCTGCCAGTGACAGTTGCCAAATGAGTATTCCCCTCTCTCTCATTCATCTGACCTCTCGCTTATTTGCAGTTTTAAGGTAGCGTTACATTGAGGTTGAGGTAGCGGAAAGCCCAAAATACGCGGATATATGAAAAACATCAATTCATTTGCAAAAAAAATAATTTCATCCTTAATTTCTAAGAATTTACATTTCACATGGATTTTTATAGTTATAGTTTAGTGTCGTTATAGTTAAGGTTTAATGATACGTGTGAGGTCGTGGTATTACCACCGGTTTGGCTCTCCAACAGTGCATTTTTTATTTTTTAAATAAAAGGGTTGTTTCCTTCGTCAAAAAATATTGAAAAATAGCTATTCATACATACTTTAACTCATTGATATGTCATATACAATGAGGTCATACGCCACTTAGGCACTGAAGCGCGTACTTAAGAATCGCTACCGCCTATCACTATGGGACCGATACCATTTAAATTTTTAATGTGGTAGACATTTTCGCATTGCGAGGGAAGGAAATACTTTTGTTTTGTTTGTCATTACAGTTTAATACAGATTTTTGCACATCGTCGCATTACAAGTAGTATCGCATACAAGTAGTAGTATTCACTTGTAGGTATAGTTGATATATTCATAACTAGCTTTTGCCCTCGACTTTGTTTGCGTGGAATAGTGACTTCCTGCAGATTTTTGGTTTAAAAACTATCTTATGTCCTTTCTCGGGTTCCAAACTATGTCTGTACCAAATTTCACACAAATAAGTTCAGTAGTTTAGGCGTGAAGAAAAGACAGATAGACAGACAGAGTTTCGCATTTATAATATTAGTTTGGACTAGTTTACATGGCGAACTTCTTACCGCCTCAAAATCAACTATTATTTTCGTACTCAACAGTTTTGTTTCTTTTCATATTATGGAGACGAAAATTAATAGCTTACGTTACAAAGTAGAGGTACCGATGTGTTATTCTAGACTATAATCTGTCTCTGTGCCAAATTTCATTCGGAACTGTACAGTAGTTTTTACGTGAAAAAGTAATAAACATCCATCGACCTACATACAGAATTTTGCGTTAATTAATCATGATATTCATCATCATCATAATATCAGCCTATAAGTGCCTACTGCTGAGCTAAGGCCTCTTCTCACACGGAGAAGATTTGAGCATTAATCACCACGCTTGCTCAATGCGGGTTGGTGATTTCAAACTTATAATTAGAAATTAAGTCCAGGTTTCCTCACGATGTTTACCTTCACCGTATGTCAGTGGTGTCTAAATAATCATAGAAAGTACATATAAAACTCGGAAAAAGTCACATTGGTACTTGCCAGGTTTGGAACCCATATCCTCATGCATGAGAAGCGGGCTCCTTAACCTCCGGGCCACCACGACCCCTATATCATGATATTAGTAGGCTTCAATTGACTCGGCTGCTTATTTCGCTTGCGTGTGAATGAACTGACTAGTGTCCACAAGAAACTATAGTAAGAGATTTTTTTTAATTGATTATTTACCTAAAGATTTTTAAGTTTAAGAGATTTGAGAATTCACGAGTTACCGGTCCGGTAACCTCACTCACACGGCGAAACACAACGCTGTGGTTGTTTCACGCTGGTTTTCTGTGAGGCCTTAGTATTGCTCCGATCGAGCCGACCCATTCGTGCCGAAACGCGACAATCTCTCACTTGCCAAAAAGTATCAAAAGTGTTCGTTCCAATTAAAAAATATCGTTAAAATAATCAAACAGTCGTCCAGTAAAGGTCGCGAATTCTTATAACGGGCAGCCCCCTAAGCAAAGGTAAACAATGATAAACAGTGGTGGATGATCCCAGTATTATCTGAATCAATAAGTTGGGAGCCGCTGACAAATGACGTGCGATTTCAGACAAGCCCCACGTGGACGGACCGAGTTTAGGGCTTCCGTGTGATCGATGATTATCGTCGAAGGGTGATTTAAGTTATGGGAAATCTTAGTCGGGCGCGGATGAGATGGACAGTGGATTGACCTGCCTTATCATAGAACCTTTTTGAAGTTACTGTGTGTACTGGAGCACTAAACAATATTTTAACCGACTTCCAAAAAAAGGAGGAGGTTCTCAATTCGACCGTATATATGCTTTTTTTTTATGTTTGTTCGCCGATATCTCCGTTATTTATGAACCGATTTTGATAATTCTTTTTTTATTAGAAAGGAGATAGTCTCAGAATGGTCCCATGATAAGGAAATCAGGATCTGATGATGGAAGACCAGAGAAATCGAGGGGAACTTTCAAAAATTGTAGGGGTGAGTGGTGCTTTTGCATATGGTTTTAGTAGACTTTTGACAAATTTACAACTTGCCGATGTTCGAACCCGACCTGATGATGGAGCCGGAAGACAGTCGAGGGATCTCCTTTACTATTTGGAGTAGTTGCATTGTGTTTGGGCTTGAATGATTCGTATTGGTGAGCACTTTGCACCAAGATTGGTTGTGACTGTCATTAAGGGTCTGATGATGAGAACGATGGACAGCTCAGGGAACTCCTGAACGGTTTACAGTAACTACCTCGTGTTTGGACTTTATTCATTTATATCGATGGAAACTTTGCACCTCTATGGATTACAATGAAGTTATTCAGTAAATTGTGATGATGGAGCCGGGAGGCAGTCGAGGGATCTCCTTGATTATTTGGAGTAGTTGCCTTGTGTTTAGGCTTGAATGATTCGTATTGGTGAGCACTTTGCACCAAGATTGGTCGTGACTGTCATTAAGGGTCTGATGTTGAGAACGATGGACAGCTCAGGGAACTCCTGAACGGTTTACAGTAACTACCTCGTGTTTGGACTTCATTCATTTATATTGATGATAACTTTGCACCTGTATGGATTATGTATAATGAAGGTCTGCAGTATACCTGATAATGGAGGTCATTGACATTCGCGGGAATTCCTCAACGATTTACGGCACTGAAAGCTGACTAACTCAGGACTGCCATTAATGTGATTTTCGGTCTCAAGTAGCCGTCGTCTTCTCTGCCTATCACTTAAAATGGTGAAATAAAATAATTTTTAACAAAAAAAAACTGACTTCAAAAGTAAACTAAAAAGCAAAAAATAAATTTACTTTGTTCAAAGTAATACACACTTTCATTTAGTTAAATAGAAAATAATATTTAGTAACTATTTTATAATTTTGAAGTCGGTGCCAAGTAAATGCTACATACCAAACAACAACAGTATAAGAAAAATATATTGATCGGTACCTACTAATCATCAAATTAGCAAGAGGTATGTAAGTAATATCTTTACACTGTTATAGTTTTACTTGGCACCGACTTTAGATTATAAAATAGTTACTAAATATCATTTCCTATTTAACTAAATGAAAGTGTGTATTACTTTGAACAAAGTAAATTTATTTTTTGCTTTTTAGTTTACTTTTGAAGTCGGTTTTTTTTGTTAAAAATTATTTTTGTACTTTATTTTTGGATTAACAGTTTTTCAAATTCTAAACACAGTGTGGTCATTTTATTCTGTAAGAATATAAGACGGACATAATAAAAACAAGGATTGAAAAGTAGTGGACTGTGACTTTACAAAACAAAACTTTTAATTAATAGATTGAATAACAAACGCCGTGAAAAATTTTAATTTCTTATCAATCGTGTCATTATTATTTGTGTGTGTATATATATCACTTTTACACGAGTACCACAACATTAGAAGAGTTTCGAGTACCTTTTTAAGAAATAAGCTTACATAAAAAAATGTAGTGGTCCAGTTTCAATTTGTAATGTATAATTTAATCCTAATTTGAAATCGGTTGAGCTACTATTTTCCCAGTTTGGTACAAAAGTCGTTACAATAGCAAAAATAAACAATAATTTTTAAAAACATTAATTTTCTTCACTTATATACATATGACTTCACCTTAATTAGTAAAAACAAACATCCCTCGCCATACATTTTTTTTACAGAAACAAGCTTTAAAAAAACGCCTTATTTAGGAGACTACTTTTTAAACGTCTAAAGGCGAAACACAGCACTGTGGTAACTTCACGCCAGTTGTTGTGCTCTTTCTTCCATTCGTGCCGGAACATGGCTCCTCTGCACTTAATAATTACGCAACAACCGTTACATAAATAAAAATTCTAAAAACAATCATTTTTTCTTCTCAGGTTTGGTTCCAAAACCGTCGTGCGAAGTGGAAGAAACGCAAGAAGAGTACGAATGTATTCCGTTCCCCGGGCGCGCTGCTGCCGTCGCATGGACTGCCGCCATTCGGCGCTGGGGACGTGTGCAGTCCCGGCGTCTTCGCTGATAGACCTTGGTCCATGCCTGCCGGTTAGTAGACCTATTTGGTGATTTTTGTAGTCTTGCAGATGATAAGGCTATACCAGCATCAAATATGAATTATATAACAGGCTGGCTGATTGTCAAACGAGACTAGCTGAAACTACTAAAGCTGGCGAACTATTGTAACTGGGTATTTCTTCGGTCAAAATAAATTCCTTCATGATTTCAATACAATTTTCACTAATAATCGTACTTCATTAATGGATTTGACGATAAACCTAATTCTAGATTTCGTTGGTAACATTTTAAGAAAAAAGTATTCTGCTTGACCAAAAATTTGATGACGTCACATTTCGTTTGTCATACCAAATTCATAGAACACAAACGAAACGTTTTTGACATTTCAATAAAAGAAATGAATTTGACTTGTTGTTAATAATAACCATAGTGCAACTGTAACGGACAAGCTGAAGATGAAGGAAAGTGTCGTAGAGTGCTAAAAGAAAATTCCACGAAAGTGGAAATGGAAACAATAAGAATGGCCTGGTTAAAAGAACGAAACGACAATAATAGCAACTACCAAAAAGGAATGTATTATGTATTGATGTGATTTAATTTTCCATATTTCAGGTCTAGGTCAGTTATCACAAGGCGGTGTGTCCATGGGTGGTTTTGGTGCGGGTGGTCTGCCACAGCTAGCTGCTGACCTCAACCCATCCCTCCCCATCAGCTCCGTCGCCTCTGGTCAGCCCTACCAGGGACATTATCCGCTGAACTCACTTGGTTAGTAGATTATCATCTTCAATGTGTCTATCTTCAGTCAATGAATTCGACTTTCTACTTGGCATTTCTGCAATCTTGGAAATCAGAAGATCTAAAATTGCACCAAAGGCAATTATAATATCTCAGCAGTAGCAACCCCAAATGAGGTACATTTTGTGCCCAAAAAAGATCGACAATAAAAAGAATTGACATATGATTTCACAAATCCTACATAGTGCAAATGAAGAACACCATGGCATGACCATCTAGACGGAGGATCCTTCATTTCTGATCTTAAAGAACTTAACCCTTTGTTTCCTAAACTATAATCGATTGTATTCGTTCTTTGTAGGTGACACGATGATGTCTTACTGCAACAACATCAGCCAGCAGCAGCAGGGTGCGTTGGAAGGTTCGCCCACTCCGCCACATATGGCACACTGCGGTAACAACAACGCATCCCCTACTGCCTCCGGTAAGTTCTATGCACGCACACATGGGTATTTGCTCTCAACAGTATACCTTAAAAAAGCAGGAAAGGTCATGCCAAAGAAAGATGGACAGAATAAAATTTTTGTCGGTCAAACAGCGAGTACGATTTAAGCCACTGGCCAAACTTTTGCTCAAAATTAGACGTAATCTAAAATCTCCTCCTAATTTATTATTATTTGCATCAGGTAATGGTGGTGAAACAGCTGAAGAGGAAGTTTGGCGTGGGCACAGTATCGCGGCGCTGCGACGGCGGGCGTCCGAGCTTTCGGCCGCAATCCCGCCATACTTGCAGCTGAACTATGACGCGCATAGCCCCGTCTACTGACCGCATTACCCAGTCTTCTGACCGCGTGGCCGCTACTAAGTGACCAGCTCAGTCCACTGAAGATCGACCTTGTATTGTAGAGATGCTTGCATCCATTTGTTACGTCAGTTCGGTTACTCCTTCAAAATGCTTGTTCAAGCCTTGTTGAGGTTTTCGACGGTTCTGTGACACATGAAACCCTTAAAAAGACCCTTATTAAAGACATTGGTTTTGCTACTTCTATAGCTTGAAACGTTTAGATTTGGTGGCTCTGGATTATTTCCGCACATTGTTGTGTTCGGAATTATTTTGGACGTTTGCCAAATTACTCAATTAATACACGCGTATTTTATTGTAGGTTTTTTAATTTAATTTTATCAGTAGCACGTTCGATACGTACAATACGTAAATTGATATCAATTTTTCGAAGTGTTTTTATAAAATTCAATTGACATGTTGTATACGAAATGAATTTAGGGCCAAGCGTGAGTTTTGTTGTTGAATGGATATTCCATTTTGTTTTCGCACATGGCAAATGTTACGTGGGCGATAAAGATGTAAATAGCAAAAGTCATGTTTGGCCTGAATGTTTACTTACAAATGTTTTTATGTAGTCTGTCATTATCCGCATTGGCTGTGTTAAACAAATTGTGAGATTAAATGGCATAAACATACAATATTGTAGCACTCCAGGCTATACGATGGCGCTTTAGAAGTTCACTAAAGCAAGCCACTTAGCCTAGAGGACAAAATGGTCTCGATTTTCTTCAAAATGGCGAATATTTTTGACCGCCATCTTGATGATATTTATTGCAAGTTTGCAAAGACGTTGTAATTACTTACGATAAAATTGTGAGCTGTATTCAAGAAAATACATGTATACGCATTCGTACAATAATAAATTATAGTTTAATGTTAAGCTATTTATTGTTTAAGTAACGAGTATAAAGTATTATAATAGTGTTAAATAGCAGTAATAATGTCAGTGTATTTACGAATATTTCGTCGTATTCGAAGTTTAGGTACTTACATACGGATTCCAAACATTCCAATTTCGAAATTTAGAATAGTTTACCGTTGTAGAAGAGAGGGCTATGCCTTGAGTTCCAAATTTAAATTTAATAAAATAACCGATACGTTTTGGAAATCATAAATCGAATTATGCTAATAATAATTCCGAAAATCTCTTCAAAATGTTTTCCGTTTATTCGGGCTTTGTCGTAGATTGTTATTGATCGCAAAGAGTGTATGTATCAATCAGTATTAACAGCATTTAATAAAAAAAGACTGAGCCCGACCTTCTATTACCTAATGAATTTACAAATGATACCACATACCTAGAGCAAATAAATACGTTATATTACGCAATACCTAGGGAATGTGATAGTAATTTTAAATGTTGTCCCGGTTTGTAGGTTCAGCAGCTACTTAAAGAGAAGCGATTAGAGATTTTTCTCTTAAACAAAAAAATGTATACAAATATAGTTTTACGACGAAAGAGGGTAAAATAGCTCAGCGTGTTACATTATACAAGAATCAAATAAAGTGGTAATTAGATAATCTTATTTCCACACCCTGTATACGGAATTTCGATCCAAAGTACGTTTTATGTGTGTAAATGTATAGCTAGGTATATTCAATATAGATAAACGAAATTGAACTCACGGCCACTGTTTTTAAACACATTTTTTTTGTATTAGTTGAAAGTGGTTGATAGTTCCTATTTGTTTTGGGCTCCGTTAAGACGAAACATTTTATTATCTGTCGTACGTACCTAATTGTATTGTATTTGTGTTAATTTTTAATCTGTGTATTTTCCGTCCGTTGTTTTGTGTGTAAGTTTTATTATTGCTTTTGTTTTTTTTTCTTTTATAATCTATGTATACGAATGTCTCGGAGCCATTTTATTTTTTAATTTTGAATCTGTTAGTTTTAAGGACGACAACATCTGTATGATATTTACTTATTATCATTTTCTAACACCAAAGTGAAGCTTAAATTTCTTAAAACAATATTTTAAAATGCTTCTAAAGAGTACGTAGGTACCTGGGTCTTACATGTGCAAAAGTGAAGTACCTACCGTACGTACCTATCTATTAATTTATTTGTGTATTCTATTTTCTATAAGTAAAGAACTGAGTGGTTAATAAACTTGTAGAACAAATGAATAATATTTTGATTGGATACGATAACTCGCTCGCTCCGTGTATGTATAGCCTACATTTAGAGTTACAGTACTAGTTGTAAGTATTAATATACATACATACAATAAAATAGACAATGTTCATTATTGTGTTTCATTTTAATCGGTGCTTGGTTAAATACTTACTGGCAGGTTATGTGCTATCTTTAATGTTTTAGATTAGAGTTAGACTGCACGGTTGGCGGTGGCTGGGCAACTGGCCGCCGTGCAACGTGTCGCGAAACAACTCTTTGTGTGATCCACAAATTGTTGTTTCGGGTCTGGGATGTGATGTGTACCTATGTGAATTTGTATGTTTGTAAACACATCCCACGACACAGGAGAAAATCCTAGTGTAGGGCAACGTTTTTTTTTTTAAAAATATTAAAGAGTATTTTGTCTTTCGCCATGACAATGAGGTTACTGGAGGCCCTAACTCCATTCCTCTCCAATTCCTAAATCTTTGAAAAGCTGTCAATGCACTAGTAACTACTCTGATGTTTCCGCAGTCGACGACGCCCATGGAGCGTCGTCGATTGCTTACTATCAGGTAATCCGAGCAGAAGAACGTTTGCCGACGTATCACATAAAAAAATATTGATAAACCTAGGTACTCAAGCAGTGCCCTCTCTTTAACGCCTATAAGAACCGAGGCACTTTTTAGTTTCCACAATTTCCACTTACTTACCTATCCGTTTCCTAAAATTTTGGATTACAATCGGCTGGTTTTGCATAAAGTAAGTAAGAGGACTTACCTGTATGAAATTTTTGGTCTGAACAAAGTATAATAGAGCTTATAAATATACAGTTTTAATTTTTAACACTTTTACTTTTAAATTAGTGAATTGTGTTGTGATTGACAATATTCAGTTCAGACGCAAAAAGGAACACAGAACGCCATCTAATATTCTAATGTAATACTAATACACTACAGTTAACGCGGGAACAACGAAAACAAAATGGGTGAGTGTCGCGGTGTAACCACTTTTAACTCACGTTTTAAATCATAGATGGCGCTGTACAGCCAAACTTTCGTAGTTAGCGCCAAAATATCGACGAAACAAATGCTATCTCAAACAAGTGTAGCGTAGCTTTATTTTATACTGGAGTTTTGTAAAACGGTAAAATGTCAATCAAATCGGAGAAATCTTTGCTTGAAGAGTGTTCCGAAATTATAGAGAAAAGTTATTCTGTGAGGAGTGCCTCAGAAGAGAGTCTATCAGGGTTCGTATTTTGCAGATATTTATCAATAACTTGTTGCTTTATACACAGGTAATGGCTACTATGAGTATGTCTAAAACTAAGTACCTAGTTATGTTTTTGGGTACTAGTAGCCAAAACTCCATGACTTATAAAATTTCCATGACTTATACCTAATATTTACAATCCTCGGAAAAAATGAAACGGGTAGTCGTAGATAAAATTTTACAAATAAATTAATATTGAGTCACAAAACTGCTTTAATTCGTTGTTCGATATTTAAACTTCTGCCTAAGATATTGATTTGTGGCTTAATCGTTCAGAGATGACGAAGACGAATGTTTGGCGCGAACTCTAATGAACAAGATGACTCCAGCTGTGCTCAGCAAACTGAGACGATGTTTCAAGAAGAATAAAGAAAGGACCAAAGCTCAGGATATAGACAGGTGAGTAGGATTGACCCTGAAGAAAGGTTATCGCAGACGATGGGCAACTAGATGCACGGAAGCCGCACGGAACGACACTGTGTGATCCACTTATAGTTGTTCCGGGCCTGGGTTACTTATGTAAGTGAATTTGAATGTTTGTAAACGCACCTACGACACAGAAGATCATCCTAAAGATGGGCAACGCTTAACTTGTCTCAAACGAAAAGCTTTAGGTATTGTCTAAGTTGCCCTGACTGCTGTGTGTTCAGAAAGAAAATAACTAAGGTAATTTGAGTGCGGTTATTAAAACAGAAGTCATATTCTAAATCGTGGTTTATTAGAGACACAATAGACGGACAATATGCGAACGCCGGCGTTCTTTTGGGGTTTGATGAGTTAATGAACAGTTTTAAAGCTAGCGATGCTGAAAGAAGGAGACAGCAATTTTAACGGGACCGTTTGAGAGTTTGGAGATTTGTTACCCTCGAGAGAGTATAATGAGAATGCTGTACTTGAATTTTAAAGGCGAGTAGAGGAGGTGATGAGAGCTGCAGCAGCTGAAGAAGGCATCGAGTTTGCGGAGACTGCTTCACCGCCACAAGACTCGCTGTGGCTTGACGAAGCTGGATTCGTTACTTCTCTGGACACAATATTTGGTAATAATGCACAAATATATTAATAGTTTATACTACCAACGTAAAACTGTGCTAAGTAAATATCAGTTGAACCATGTAAACGAATGTAACCCTTCTACAGAGGAACGGGGAAGAAGGTTTGACATCTTGCCTCTAAAGTCATGCCGTGTAAACCATTTTGAAGTTGGCTATGTGAGTTCTGATTTCTAATGCTTCGGAAACCTTTGTAGGTTCACGACTTGGAATCATATTTTTACCAAAGACGGTCAACCGTCGAGTGTTAGTTAGTCATTTTATTTTTAAAGTAAGTCTAAAGGAGATTTCAAGTGTGGGAGAGCCATGCTTCGGCACGAACGTCTCGACTGGAGTATTACCACGGCGTCACAAAATAATGGCGTAAAACAACCACTGGTTTGTGTTTCGCCGTGTCAATGAGGTTACCGAAAATCCAATTCTTCCCAATCGCTTCCAAATCCTAGCAACGCACTCGTAATTCCTCTGGTGGCCATGGGCGAACCTGACTGCTTACCATCAAGTAATCAGTCTGCCCGTTTGCCGACCTATCGCAAAAAAGAAGAATGTTCTTTTCGTACACAGGTCATCATAAATACACAACGCACGCACACAAACTGTTTCAACTGCTAGACAGTTTCAGCAGTGGTAAGGTCTGGTGGAGACAGCTAATATGTCGACTGGTAGCTGTCGGAGCTAAGAAGACAAGCACCAGGGCTGAAGTATGGAAGCCACTTATTGAGCAGGATATCAAAAGACTGGACCATTGCAAGGTAGGTTATACAAACAGTATTTCTGGAAGGTACATAAGCTTGGTCTTACCGATCACTCTATGATCTATTAACATTTCTATTATCGAGTATATAAGTACTCTTTAATAGGAAAATGTATAATAATGTCAGTGTCCGTCATGAACTCCTAAAATTATAATTAAAAGTATCCCAATATTTTAAAGTATTAACTTTCCAATGCGCCACATGTTAATGGGCATGTAATAAGCCATCTATCTTATACTTTATGAGATCTACACTACACGTACTGACAGGCAATTGAGTTGGAACTTGTTAAAGGATCTTAAGAATAAAGTGGAACCGCTGCGCGCTGGGCGTTCAATACAATACGAAATAGTCACAATAGCAATAGAAACAATAAAGAATTATTCTTAATAACCAACATTTTTAGAGAGAAGTTTATAATATGCTCGGTTCATAGCTGTAGTAGGTTTATGACTAAGGAGGATAAGGATAGACTAAAATAGTATTGTTAGTTGTTGTTATTTATAGAAAATAATGACTAACTTAGATGAATTAACAGAAAAATACCCTTAATAAAAGAGCCATGTGAGTGTCGGGGCGACGACGTCACGAAGTCGACTGGCGAGTCCAGTTTTGACTTGATAGTAATTATCAATGACGTATTATATATAGACACGTCATGAACCAACATCGCTTCGCTTAAAAACGGCGAAAATACTAGATTACTACTTCTACGAGTAAAGAAAGGGAAAGAAAATATGACATCGTATAATGGAATGCCTTTGCTAGAGGGAGATAAATATTCATCTTCAGTTACATCGGCACGTGACTATACCTTCATGCGCCGGCCGCCATAAGATGGCGGGCGCCGGCGTCGAAAAAATAAAATAAAAATAGGTTGTTTGGTGAACTTACGCATGAAATGACACATTTTTGTCTTTAACTTTTGGAGTATAATTTGTACATCGTCTGAACACACACGACGGCATGCTTTCTTTATGTTTCGCACAGGTTTACACACACGATATAAATTAAAAACAAACGTAGCGTCGCGCGGCAGGTTGGTGCGTAACTAAGCGCGATGTTGTCAATTGCCTTCATTTCATGTTGTCATTTTAGAGCGCGGACAACGTATCTATAGTTTTATACTTCATTGGTAATTATAGAGTTTTTCTCAGTAAAATCACGTGAGTAAGTCGTCTTTTGGGGACTAAAAGAAATAATGCATATTATTGTGGTTTGAAACATCCTTCCTTTTAATCGTACACTCTTGTCAGTGTGGTCGTGATCATGGTATGTCCTTAGTGGCTGCCTTTGCGATTTCTCTCAAGTTTTTTCTGTTAGTGGCATTGCTCGCGCACTCCACTATTGAGCTGGATGTCACTGTTTTTATAAGGTCCGTCCATCTATTAGGTGACCGACCACCAGGACGCTGACCCTCTATTTGTCCTTGCACCACCAATCGTTTTATTAAGTCTTCGTTTCGGATGTTATGACCAAACATTTTAAGAGTTCTTGCTTGCACAATTGAAGAAAGTCTTTGTTTGATGCGAAGCTCTTTTAATATGGATACATTAATTTGAAACATAGATAACTTAAATATTAGCGGGAGACGCTGGTGAAACTGGTGTGTGTGGAGCGAGAGGATTCATTCTGTTACGTGGCGGTATCCCGTGGAGGACGAGTTGGAGTCTACAGTGGTGATATGCGGCTTCTGTATTCATATGAGGTAAGAGGAATTTTCTACTTTACACCTTTTCGGGGTTACTTTATTGAAAGAGCATTAAATACCTCGGCCCCGGCTCGAAGCAGGAGAAGGAACTGGTTTTTAGATGGTCAGAGTCTAAAACTCCCTTTTGGGAAAAAATGCAAAACGAATGAAAAATCTATTATTCAAACTCAGACGACGACAATCATTAATTGACAATGTAAACAGTGCTCTCTCAGAAATAGTTCACTGGTTTGGTGTGAATAACTTATTACTAAACGAAACTAAAACTAAATGTATTAAATTCACAACACCAAATGTTAAACAGATAAAAACCAGTGTGCTTGTCAAGGGCGAGGAGTTGAGTCCTGTAGATACAACTGTCTTTTTAGGTATAACCCTGGACGCTAAGCTCCAGTGGGGCCCACATATAGATGGCTTGTCGAAGAAGCTCAGTTCTGCAGCATATGCCGTTAAAAAAATTAGAAATTTAACAGATATAGATACAGCGCGGTTAGTTTATTTTGGTTATTTCCACAGCATCATGTCATACGGTATTTTGTTGTGGGGGAATGCTGCTGACATCCAGTCTATTTTTGTTCTGCAGAAAAGGGCTATTCGATCAATCTATAATCTTAGTCCGAGGCATTCGCTCAGAGAATTATTTAAGGAATCTAAAATAATGACAGTTGCCTCTCAATATATTTATGAAAATGTAATTCACGCTCATAAAAACAAAAGCTTATTTAAGAAATATAGTGATATACATAATATCAACACGAGGGGGAAAAACAAATATGTTGTGCCTGCCTCCAGGCTTCAGAAAATAAGTAGTTCGTTTAGGTGTCAATGTATACGCTTTTACAATAAAATTCCTAGCGATATTCAAAATTTGAGCCTCAATAAATTTAAAAGTGTAATAAAGGCTAAACTTTGCTGTAAAGCATTTTATAAAATAAAAGACTACTTAGAGGATAGTCAGGCTTGGGAATGAGCCGTTGTAATGTCTGCACAGGTCATGTTGACATGTTTGTAACATAAGTTACACTTTTATATACAATTTGACATTACGTTTATTTTTTTTTTATACAATGACATGATCACCTATTGTGACATTTTTATTTTTTATTTGACTATTTTTTTTTTTATTTATTTGTTGACATTTTTATTATTTTATATTATTGTTAGTGTAAGGACCGTGTGAGACTTGTCGTGCTTTTTTATCACCAGTCATCTGCGTTCTGACAGTTTGAGTACTTGCGCGACCCACCCAAATGTTCTTTTGATCGGTATTGTTCGTCGGACAACTCAACAGCACTAGCTATATGGTTGCAAACTGACACTTGCGTGCCTGTCTTCAGAACGGGTCCACTTAAACTGGTGTGGTTCTTTCCTCAAAAGACCACTACAGAATGAACTTGCACGGTTCTCTCACATTATGTTATTTTATATTGTCTGGACTTGAAAAGAGACTGACCTCTGAGTTTGTTTCGGCATTTCTTCTCAGAGTAGTCAGATAGGAAATGCCGGCTTCATCTAGTTTTTCACATATAATTTGACGTGTAAAAGTGCCGTTTTAAGGCCTATTTGCAAAAATAAATTCATTGTTTCATTGTTTCATTGTTTCATTGTTTCAATGACTATTAAAAGCATATTAAGGATTCGCTAAAAGTTGACAAACTTTGTGATACTTTTGGGAATTGAGTGTGAAGTTCGGAAAATAATATTTGTGATGTCTTTAATGAATTATTGATCGTCGCCTATGTCTTCTATTTATAGAGTCGTAAACAAAATAAGGCATTGATGTAAAATACAGGGAAGAAGCTTCCAAAATTACCCGTAGAAAAAACTAATATCAATAACCTTGTTACAGATGTTTTACCACCGATCAGGAGTCCGTAAACGCGTTAAAAATCGATGGATCACGGACGCGATTTACTTACCGGTCAGTACCATAAGGAGATTAGCAGTGAAGTAAAATTTATAAAAATAACAAATGACAATATTGTATTCACTAGAGTCATCCCATTTTCACAATGTTTATGTGCTTTGATGAAAAAGATAAACTCTGTTTGAGTTTAATGATTTAAAACGATCTCATTTCAGAAATAAAAAGAAAATACTATATATTATAAATGTTTTTTTTTGTCTTCTAATGTTTTTACTATGTTGCTGCGCCCTAACAGGGTCCATAATTGTACTGTGCTGTGCTTTAAGCCTTCTATACCATCTATAAAACACATTCTGGAATGCAAATAAACAAATGATACAAACTTTTAAACTTTCGCGTTTCACATTAGAGCAACATATTACTAAACAGGTATTAACGCGAAAAAAAAAAAATATTTAAATACCTTGGAAGGTTGACGTTTCGATCTGGTTGCACAGATTGTGGTCGCAAGCAGACTGACTGACTGACTGTGCTACCAAATCGAAACGTCAAGCCTTCCCTTTCGGGATTGCGGGGTAAGCGCAATGAGGCACCGTGACCTCGGCCCAGAGCAGGAGAAGGAACATACAAGGTTTTTAGTCAGTAAGAGGCTGACACTCCCTCCCTCACAAAAAAGCCTTCCAAGGTGTTTAAATTATTACTTTTCGCGTTATTACCCGTTTAATAATACTTTCTTTAATAAATGATGTTCCAGGACGCTCAGTACCTCATGATGTCTGCATCAGACCGCAGCTTGACAGTGTATGATGCTGCAACACTATCACATACTCCGCTGTACTGTATTACTGGACTACCAAACATTCCTACAGTGAGTATTTAGTAATCTTAAGTATTCTTTTTAAAGCAATCACTGATGATTACATACGAAAGACCAATTCCGCGAAGTAACGCGGTGGTTTTAAGTAAGTAAGAAGTCCGATATTCTCTGTCACTTCATCCAGGAAGAGAGAAACAACTAGATCATTTTCGCCCCTTTAAAAAAGTGACAAAAGATCAATCTATACCTATTTACGGAAAATAACGACCTACGCGAATTAAGTTAGAAAACCTCTTCTAGTTTCAAACTACAACGGGACTCTTATTCATGAGCAAATTGCGCGTCGTGACGACAAACTATTCTCGGTTAATTTACGTAACACGTAATTTCAATAAGTTTGATGTCACTCACAATAGTTTCTATTCAAAAATAAGACCAGTCCTTGAAACTAGTACTTAATACCTATAACTACTTAGTCTATGAGTGAATACCCAATCCTTCCCCTCCCCCAATCCCTCCTAAATCCCTAAATCTCCAAATCCCTAATCCCTAAAAGGTCGGCAACGCACTCGTAACTCCTCCGTTGCGAGTGTCCATGGGCGGCGCTGATTGCTTACCATCAGGTAATCCGTCTGCTCGTTTGCCGACATATTAAATAATAAAAAAAAAATACAAGGTCAATGAAAAGCGTTGAAAATACTTCAACAATGTATTTCCAGTGTATGGCGTACACTCCTTCGTCACGTAGCTGTGACACATCAGAGCTTGCCTTCGGCACGGAGCGCGGCGACGTCACTCTCATTCGGTTCCTGCAGCCGAAGCTACAGCTGTTCCACACGAAGACGCCCGATGCTATCAATTACTACTTCTGGATGGTAAGTCTGGATCGTGGATGTTGGTAACTTTCAATCCGTTTTCAGATCTTCATGAGCAATCACGGCTTTGAATCCTGTTCCTGTGGGTGCGTTTACAAACATACAATGTCACATGCACATCACGTCCAGACCCGAAACAGCAATATTATATTGTAATCGATGTTAGTATGATTGTATATCATATACATTTTCTTGGCTTGCAATTCTATTTTTATATTATTGTTCTGGTTCTGGGTACGATGTGTATTTGGAAATGTATGTTTGAAACCCACGATACACGAGAAAACCCTAGTGTGGGCCAAGGTTTTTTAAAAAACCTAAAAACTAACATTACAGGAATTACCGTCTCCTCCTCACACATCATACTGCAGTATCATGCGCTGGCGCAAAGTACACTCGCGGTCAGTAAAGCGTGTTGCGTATAGCCGCGGCGGAGTCATACTTGTCAGCTGTTCTCATGACGCGACCGCCAGTGTACGCATCCGACATGTTCCCGGCAAGATGGATGACTATGTCTTCAAAGTTATAAGGGTAATTCTAATTAGATTTTTATTTATTTAAATACGGATGCGAAAAGTGGCGGTGTCACTATCACTATCACTATCACTACCACTATCACTACCACTATCACTACCACTATCACTACCACTATCACTGTCTCTATCACTTTCGTTATCACTATCACTAGTGATAGTATATATGATATGATAGTGATAGTGATTATCACTATCATATCATATATATTATCACTATCATTATCACTATCACTATCACCTTCACTATCACTATCACTGTCTCTATCACTTTCGTTATCACTATCGCTATGACTATCTCTATCACCCTTGAGGCTCAATAGAGCTGATGTTCAACTACACCAGGGATTGGGGGTGCACTAATGTACCTAGGCCTGGAGTAGGCCTAGAATAGACTAGGCCTAGTAGTAGTGTTTAGTCAATAAGAGTCTGACACTGAATGATACACTCAACCCAACTCAACCTCAAACAAATTAAATCTGAAATCTATCAGAGTTAACGAGATACTAGACAGACGGACAGGCAGCGAACCTCTTAAAAACATTAATAATAATTGTAAGCTACCCTTGCAAATGTTCCAGGGAGTCACCTGTTTCCACATAGTATCGGCGCTGCACTTGGTAGCGACGGGCGGCTGCGATGGTTCAGTGCGACTGTGGCAGCCCTGTGGTCGTACACCGTTCGCGACGCTTGCAGCCCCGACTTCACCTGCAATACTAGACCTAGCCATCATAGCTCCGCATGAACTCGTCATAGCTTTCTGCAACAACTGTGTAAGTTCAAATATAACCAAAGTGTGGAAGAGCCATGCTTCGGCACGTATAGCTTGGCTCGACTGGAGTGATACTACTGACAGCCTTACAGAAATCCGCCTTGAATTCACCACAGCGTTGTGATTCGCCGTGTGAGTGAGATTAGAGGAGGCCCAATTGTTCCCCTACGCAACCTCCTCTCAACTTCTACCCTAAATCTCGCACTCGTAACTCCTCCGTTGTTAGGGGTGCAAATGAGCGGCGCTTACCATCAGGTAATCCGTCTGCACGTTTGCCGTCCTAAAAATCTATTGGCAAGCGCAAAACTCAACAACTCCTAGATCAAGTGTGGGAGAACCTTGCTTCGGTAGGAATGGTTCGACTCGACTGGAGTGATAGCATATGGCCTTACAGAAAATCAGCTTGAAATAACCGCAGCGTTGTGTTTTTTACCGGAGGATCAATTCTTCCCTTCCTCAGACCCGAAATCTCCAAAACAATAATCCCCAATATAACTCCTCCGTTGGTGCGCCTATGGGCGGCACTGATTGCTTATCACCAGGATAATACGTGTGCTCGTTTGCCATCCTATCACATAAAAAAAAAACAAATCTATTGGTAAGCGTTTGAATTTCTGCAATTCATTCTTTGTTGTACTTGTAATCAATGGGATGGTTCTTATGAAAGAAAATTTTAGAAAGTTAAGTGATCAATCTTATTTATCCCTTTTCATCTCCTTTCAATTGTTGCACTTTACAGACATTGTATATCTGGGATCTGTATGAGGAATGTTTGCTGCAAACTATCAAGCTAAGGTTCCCGTTTCTTGGTGTTCTCGGCAAAAAGGTCGAGTTTGGCCCTTACTGCATACATCCCGGTGAGTACCTAAATTATTCTTATGTGCATATGCTTGTGACAAAGTCAGGAAAATATTGTTTGTTCTATTTCTTGTTACTAAGCCTATGAAGAATGGATCCTTAGATTCAACTCTTGGTTATCATCATACAACAGAATAAAATAGATCTGATTCAAAAAGAAATCCCCTAAGTCATTGGTGATCAGCGTCAACTTTTAATAGTTTTCAGCCAAAAGTTTCAAAAGCATTTTTACTACCACCCATAGGGATTTGGTGGGAACAGTTACGTAATTTGCTTTTAACAACATTATAAATGCTTAGGCCCTGTTCGTAAAGAGTTGGAAGAAGAAACTGAAGAATCAATGTTAGAAGAACCAATAGTGATGTCCCGGCGAGCGTCCAGCGTGTACCAGGGTTCTACCGGTGGCCTGATGCTGCAGCTCGACATGGAAAACGAGTGGGACAAGAAAGGATTGGAAGATGAACCGTAAATATCATGGTTTAAGGCACACTTTCAAGTGGTCACGGACATTAGTGTTTTTTTTTCTTTTTTTTTTTAGATAAAACCCCACATTAGGATTTTCTCCTGTGTCGTGGGTGCGGTTACAAACATACAATTTCACATACACATGACCCCCAGACCCAGAACAACAATTTGTGGATCGCACAAAGAGTTGTTCCGTGCGGGAATCGAACCCGTGTCACGTTGCACGGCATCCAGTTGCCCAGCCACCGCACCAACCGTGCAGTCAAGCTAGAAAATGGTCGGCATTTCGGCATTATGATCAGAGATATAAACTACAAATATCTTTTCATGCCGTTACCCCAAGTTATTTGGAGCGCAAAATGTTTTCATATTTTTATTAATTGGATCTCATAACATTTCCCGCTCTTTTAAATAAAATTCATTATTAGTATTTGGCGTTGGAGATTTTTTATACGCCCTAAAGGAGCCAATAGATCACCACAGAAGGGGCCCAATAGGGCTAAACCAAGTCAGGTGGACTTGGAGCATGAAAGGGAACGGGGTTGTTTTTAAGAAAATACATTTTATGATTTTCGCCCCCGTATAAAAAACTTAAGCGCATAACGCAAGGGCAGCCACCAAGGACATACAATGATCAAGACCACTGACAAAAAGAGTACGATTAGAATGAACAAAAATTTCTCATAATCCTTATTGGAAAATAATTGTTGTCAGTGAGTACAAGCGCTTCAATCGATGCGAGATACTGGTTTCGTGCTGTGACTTCGTGTGCACGGTGCGGCTGGGCGACGCGGTGGGCGCTGTGGTGCCGCCTCCTGCTGACACGCTGCGGGCACGACGACCCTCCGTGTGGGACCTGCCTGACTACCCTGCTACTAGCAGTATGTATTTTTCACTATATTAGGAACAGAGAGGCACCGGCAGAGAGTAAGTTTTTCACCAAGCCTACTTTTCCCGATTTTGTTCTAACACCCTACAGAGAACTATATCCAGGCAGCAGTCTTCTCTGATCAAACTAAACATTTAATACTATGATCTTATATCTGTTTGCCATAGTGGAGATTATGTCAAACCCAATAGAGAGAGATATATAGGAGAACATGGCTCAGGAGTACTTGCGCCTCAAAGAGTCACTAGACTACAGACTGGGCCCAACAGGTCTTATGATTAGCCGGTTGCGGCTTAACACGTTCACTGCGCCATCATTTTCAAAGAACTTTCAGCTGGTGCTTTGGAGACCTAAAAGATCTCGAAACTAATCTGCCCTTTAGTGCGTTTGAGACCTAATCAGTCTCCTAAAAATACAGTTTTGACAATAACTCATATCTTCCAGAAAACCAATGACATATATTTTAAAGTTTATGTGGGTGAAAGATAGCCTGTTGCTCTATATTTTGCTAGGTTCGCACGCAGTTATGACATTTGTATAAACTACAAATACCAAAAAAAAAATAGGTATCGGTCGTATCTCGTACCGCAACCGAAGATAGTTCAATATGTGTAGTAAGTAGTGATGGGAACAAAATAATATCTCAGTTGTCGATTTAAAAAATTATTAATACTAGGTACTTCTAGTTTACTATAACAACGTTTTTGTTATAATGACTGAAATTGTTATTGCTAATGTTACCAGAAACTTGCCAGAGAGATGTGAAACCGGGTTCCCCGCCGTGTAGTAATGCTTACATAATTGTAACACTATAACATTAGAGATAAGCAGCAAAGCCCACCAGGAATGCGACTAAGATAAGACAGTCACAGCAACAACCAAACATTTTCAGGCAATCAACAGAAGAAGTACATTAACACAAAAACTACGTTTAGTCCAAAAAAGCCAGGCACATGTACTAACATGTGCCTGCCAGTCGGCAATAATGCCTAAATTAATGTTATTTAAATTGTATCCAAGAAGACGTCTATTCAGTAAACTGGAATGATTGAAATGGTGCATAATAAGCTCGACTTCATGCGAACCGTGCTGCAGTTAGTTGACGATGCTTAGCATATGCGTTGTCTGGAACCATTACCTTAGTTTCTGGAGAGATTTTAGCTACCTTTATGAGCATATGTTTCCTTCTAAAATCACTCATTGTTAATAAAAAGTAATCAACACGTACACGACGTATATACGCGAGTGTTATTTCCGTTTATCCACGTCGATGCTAGGACAACACTAACACGAGTCACGGAGCGCCCGCGCCGCCCTCCCTTCCTCTCTTGCGTCTACGAGGCCTATGATTCCACGAGTATCGACATATCTCGTAACGCAAGAAATAAAAATAATTATAGTACTGTGCGTTAGGGATCTAATCCATCTCTAATTTATTTTTTAATGTCTTTAAATTCAGTTTTAAGTAGAACGCAAATATGTATATGTGTCTTACTCATACATAAAGAACTTTACAAGTTAGATCCTCCCGCAAGGAGTGAAACAACACGATTTTATTCAACGCACAATAGAAAAGTTCTGCAAGAGATCTGATAGATCTCGTAATGCAGCGAACGTGTTAAGCAGAATACTGTACCGCGGTCTTGGCCTGGCGCAGGAGAAGGTACGGGGTGTTTAATTCAGTAGGTGCCCGACACTTCCTCTCACCTCGTATAGGGCAAGAGAACTCATTTGATGATTTTTCCCATCCAAATTAGAGAGGCTAAGTGCACAAGCGAATCGTCTTATAAATGATATAGCTTTTTGATGAGACTAATAATTATTTGTATGCTATTCATATCAATTTACTTAAAATACTTGAATCGGTGAAAACATGACGCATAGGTACAAACAAAATACAAATATTTAATTTAATACAGTCAAACAATGTTTCACATTCTTCAAATAGAGTGCACATTTTGTAAGAAGGCGTTAATGTTTTTCAACACACTTTTAACCGATAAGAAATGCAGCAGGTTTTCACTGTTATGTCCAATACTTATCTTTATTGCTTAGCAATTGTCAACTCTATTCCATTTAATTTTACAGCATCATCTACGACTCCTCGTTTGCAGCCATCACTGGCGCCAACTCCTCTACTCCTGTCACCTTCTTCAGCAGAGTTCCCTGTCACTGATCTTGATACGTTATTGGAGAATGCAGGTCTGTATTTGTTTGATTTTTTTTTCTTTCTACTGACCTTATCGCCTTCTGTCCTTTACAAAGTGAAGGAGAATTTAAGTGTTGTCCTAAATGGTAATTATCAAAAACTAGCAAGCCTTTAGGCTTCAACGCACGTACCAGAGTATTAAGCCTATGTGTTTTCCCAGATTTTAATTTTTTTTTTTATGTAATATATCGGCAAACGAGCAGACGGATGACCTGATGGTAAGCAATCAGCGCCGCCCATGGACACTCGCAACGGAGGAGTTACGAGTGCGTTGCCGACCTTTTAGGGATTAGGGATTTGGAGATTTAGGGATTGAGGAGGGATTGGGGAAGGGGAAGAAATTTAGCACACGGATGTATTTTAATACATCCGTGTGCTAAATTTTATTCAGACGCATTCAATAGTTTTTACCTCAAAATATGTATAACTACTACTTACAAATTTTATAAATGAGAAAGTGCTAGTAATATTGCTTGATTGACTTTAGGTAAATAATGTCTTCCACAAAACAGGTTTACAGGGTATCCTGGAAAAAGATTTCGTTCTGATGCAAGGACTTAAGAATGACCTGAACAAGAAACTGGCAGAAATGGAAGCGAATAAACAAGTGGTGAGTCAAAGTTACTTTATACATATAAATTAATAATATAAAACTATAGGTAGGACGTCATAGTACACCTTGCCAAATTTTGATCACTAGCTCCATCCAAAAAAGTATAAAGTCAGAAATCGCATTTAGCCATAAGACCGCCCATTGCACACGTGTTTTTTTCTGAGAGGGGATAATCACCCAGTTACTTCTCCCATCCAGGGTGAGGCGAGAGGGGGTGTCACACTTTTACTGACTAAAAACCATACCGTACCTTTACTTCTCCTGCTCTAGGCGGATGTCGTGGTGCCTTATTGCGCTCACCCCGCAACCCTGGCTGAACACCAGCCCTATAAGGCCCCGTCTGTGGTGGTCTATAATATTGGCTCTTTGAGACGTGCGCGACGAACATAATTATAGTATACTATATAGAGTAAATAATAAATAAGTAAAATAATTATTCAATCGAAAATGTTTTTGGGCAAGTAATTGCATATGTAGAGTAGAGTATACGTAAGACCTGATTTATGGAGGAAGGGTTGTGCATTCGTCATTTATTGCTGGAGTGGGTCACGTTATGTCTCGCACAGACAAAAATTGGTGAAAGTGTGATTTTAAATGTGGAAGTAATAACAGTCACCGTCTTCAAAATTGAACTAAATGAAAATAACATGTTTTACTTTCTACGAAGTTTTTTTTCTCATTTAATTGTTTAAGTACTGCATGTTAATTTCATTTATTTTGATATTTTTTGTTGCTTTGTATTTTTTATTTTGGAATCAATTGTTTTTTTTTAATAGAGAATCAGCAATCAGTTAATGAACCCAAAAGGCCAATGAGTCTGTTCAACACACATCTGTATGTAAACCACTTTTTATAATGTCCACAGATGACAAACGCTGTATCGGCAGGAGCGCCATACTTGGCGTTGAAAACTTACGACCCGTGCCTCGTGGAACCTGTAGATGAGATGCTGGACGAATACAGACGAGTGATGAAGTACGTTACCTTATTTAGGCTCTTGGTAGTCGAAAATAGTTTTAATCTTTACTTGATTACCGTTGATCCTTCGTTGCATCACCCCAAAGGTCTCTTAGCAAAAAATACCTACGGCATTAACTCCACATTGGACATATTTTTTTGATCGGATTTTCTCCTGTGTCGTGGATGCGTTTACCATTATTTAAAAATTTACATTCACATCACACCCAGACCCGAAACACACAAAGAGTTGTTCCGTGTGGGACTCGAATCCGCGACACATTGCGCGGCAGCCAGTTGCCCAGCCACCGCACCAACCGAGCATTTTACTGTTTATGCAAAAGCTTCACACCCAAAGTGGCTGAACATTGGTCCTATTGAGCCAACCATTGGTGGTCTGTTAACTCTAAATTAAATAAATTGATTAACATACAGATACATCAGTTTCTGAACATGCATTATAATTATCCGTTAGTAGGATCGTCGCTTGATTAGCTTTGAAGCACTCGTGCTTTGGCTGCGGCTTCGCTGTAGTCACATTTAGAAATTATCCAATACGATTCTGTCAACGTACCGTCTTCCAACTATCTCTAATTATAAGTACAAAAAAACTTTATTCGTAATTATTTTATAAGTGTTAAAGTGTTTTCTTTTTTTTATTAATTTTCGAGTCAGATCTTTCTTTACAAGGCTTTCGTGAAAGAGCCATAGACAAATCAGTGATATCGCTTTCAAATTTCAAATAAACTTGCTTAATTCCAAAATGATGAAATTACCATAATATGTTCGCAGACTATTCCCAACCACGAGTATAACTGGAACACCCACTGGCAGTGAGAAGTCCACTCCAAGACGAAGCAGAAGTCAGAAGTTATGAAATTGTATGTGGTGATTGATGTAATTTTAACAGTAGATCTACTAGTGGAAAAGGCTGACCTGATGCATGGTCTATGTTGCTTTTTAATATACCAGCCAGGATTGCGGGGAAAGTTTAATAATGTACCTACCGAGTCCGATCATGGAGTAGGAGAAGAAACGGAGGGGTTTTAAGTCAGTAAGTGTTTGTCCTCTCGCCCCATCTGAGGCCTAAAAGGTAACTGACGATTATATAACTAAGATAACTGATTGTCCCTTCACCACCCGTCAAAAAAATATAAATAAATTTATATTTTAAAATGTCTAGTCAGACGTGGAACAAGATCCGTCCATGCATCGGTGTATACAGATACACCGATGCATGGACGGATCTTGTTTAGTTATTAAATCTGCTAACAACCCTGAGCACTTTTCGGAATCCTATACGACTCTTGTACGAATATTTTTGCCGTGTGCAGGCCGAAATCTTAACTTATGAAATTAACTTTTAGGCAATTCTTTTTTCTCCTTCACCGTTAATAGCATTTGCACGACCCGAAAAAATTGGATAACGGTTCAAAAATGATTGTTGTAGGTACTTAATCAAAAATGTCTCACAATATGCTTTCTGGCTTATTAAATAAATAAAATTAATCATTATCGATGTTATTGTTGAATTTTTTTTATTAACATAGTTATAGTACGTACTAAAGATTAATAAAAATATTTATCCTATGTTCCCGGAGGGGTCAATTTATTCACTAGCACTTAGCATATTCAACATTATCACCAAAACATTTTATTTAGTCAGAAAAGAACAGCGTTCGCATGTTTTTCGTGTGTTTAGCAAACAGTGGCGACTAATTAAACAATTTCGTCGCTCATTATCACCTTATCGCATAATCGCGCTATCATCAAATTTGACGTAATCTAAGAATTTTAATTGTGGTACACTGATTTCGTTACATTTCGTCGGTAACGCCTTACAGTACGAACATCTTTGGCGGGAAGAAAAGTAACACGAAAAAAGACGCCACGGAAATAAATTTTCTAGAAATATTTTAAACGTAAAATGTTCGTTACAAAAAAGTTGGCGAAAGTGAACAGGGAACTGACGAAGAGATTATTCGAAGCTCGCTCTGTGACGTTGATTTTGAAGAAAGATTTCTCGCAGAGAGATGTGGACGTGAATGAATTCTTTAAGTTCTACAATGAGAACAGTTGTCAGGAGGATCGGTACAAGCCGCTGACTGAGCAGGATTATGATCGATTTTTGAGTACGAGGGCGGCGCGTAGGGAGCCAGCGCTGACAAGGCAGATCAGTGAGTAAATTAGTTTTTTAAATTGTTTTGTAAATAAAATAAGGAATTATGATTTGGGAGTTGGCGCGGTGTGTAAACCACAGATGGTTGTTTCGAGTCTGGGTGTGTAAGTAGTGTATGTTTGTAAACGCACCTACGAACTAAACACAAAATACTGCAGAAAATTCCAAGTGTGGGTAAAAGTAAAAAATAATTAAATCTGATTTAGTGTTAGTTAGTTAAGAAAGCATTTAAGAAATTACAAACTAATTTAAAACAGATGATCAAGGAGATATTATCAGAAATCGTAATAATTTTAAATTAAATAAGTAGTCAATTACTGCTAATGTAATTTTAAATACCTATTAAAGACCAAATCAGTTAGGAATGTAAAAGAAAAATGGAAAAAAGTAGAAGTCCTTTTAAAATACTCTGCAGGGAAAAACTGTGAACATATTGTTATATATTTGTTATATATTATATATTATTATTGTGATTTGTTATATATTATTATTGTGATTCGTATAAAAATTCAAATCGATAATTGGGTAGTTTCCTTGGTCATAAATAAATTAATTCGACGTTTCAATACAATAAAATATTTAAAAATAACTACTTATACTTTCTTTCTCGATCGATCGATACACTGAATTTTAGATATTTTTTAGCTAATTCTTAAGAAAAATGTAAACTATTTGCCAAAAACTATGACGTCATAACTCAGTTTTTCATAGAAAAGTATCGTTTTTGACATTTGGATAAAAGTATTGAATTTGACTAGTTGGAAACTACTGTTTTAATCTAACTAAGTAGTCAAAAATTAAAGTACTTTTTACAATGGCAAGGATTATTTCCAGAATATGTTTTTGGTAGATAAAAATAAGTTATGTAAAGAAGGCACGGTTTATCATCAAAATTATCTTTCTATGCATATTTGGAATCTTCTTCCTTATCTTTAGTTGATTTATTTAGGTAGTTGTCAAACATTACCTAATCGTTAAACCATTTCAAATACAGTTTTTAATTTGTTTATACGACTTAAAAATCTAGTAGAAGAGGAGAGATTGCATTTTTTATACAGTTCCTTATTATTTCGCTTTTACTGTCATTGACGAATCATATTTTTTATTTTGAATTATTGACCGTCCCCGGCTTTGCGCGGGTGCCATGCTGATAATAATTTTGTTTACTATATATCTTTTTTTGTCAGGGAAAAAACACTTTTCCCGCCCAGGGTAAAGCGAGAGAGAGTGTCAGACTCTTACTGACTAAAAACCCCCCTGTTCCTTCTCCTGCTCTGGGCCGAGGCCACGGTGACTCATTGCGCTTAACCCGTTACCCCGCCTGAACATCAGCCCTATTGGGCCCCGTCTGTAGTGGTTTATCGGCCCTTTGAGGCGCGCGCAGAACGCTACGCACCGTACGCTCGGGTTTTTCTTTACTATTAAATGCATATTATGAAAAATATAAACCTTCCTCTTCAATCAATGTATGTATTAAAAAAAAACCGCATCAAAATCCGTGGCGAAGTTTTAAAGATTTAAACATACATAGGATATAAGGACTGAGAAAGCGACTTTATTTTATACTATGTAGTTATGATAATATCAATTCAGGCTCTCCACGAACTAGCAATCAGTGTAATTGTCATACAATTTTCAGTAATGAATAATTTAATATTACATATTTGAAACTGTGATTAATTTCTAATAAATATTTTATTTTGTTGCATATAGAAGTCGAAGTATGTTTTGACTAAGCCTTCAATCGTTATATAGTGCACGTTACATGGCTTGGTATAATTAAACTGTAAAGAATGCATACCTAAGTAGTGTTTTTTTAGTGAGGGGAAATTCATCAAATGACATCTCCCGCTCAGGGCCGGGCGGGAGGGAGTGTCAGACTCTTACTGACTAAAACCCCCGTGTTTCTTCTCCTGCTCTGGGCCGAAGTCGCGGTGCCTCATACCTAAGTAGATGAAAGCACTAATAAAGGGCATAACGCATACGAGTACTTGGGGTGCATGCCAGAAGACCTCCCCGTGGTGCACCCTGGGTGCGGGCGACAGTCTCCCTAACGGGATGGCGACAGGGTTGGTTTGACTGTCGCCCGCAGCGAACTTCTGGCCGGGCGGAGAACCCGGTCGGGTTCTAGAGGCGACCGGCTCTATGCTGTCATAGGGTCTAAGCCTCCGTGGGGGCGTTCCTCCGCACGACTCTCTGGACCTAGCAGAGAGCGGGGCGGAGAAACAAGGGCGGCGCTCGTTGTGCACTCACCCTGCCAATGAGTAGCATCGGGGCACTAGCTGCGCCCGACTGCACCCGTCGATATCGTAATCCGGGAAGAGATCATGGTCATGTTTTATGACTCGGACCGGGACGAGGGTCTTGGCTTAACCGCCCGGACCGCGAGGAAGATAACCTCTATAAAAAATTCCTCCAATACTAAGTTCTGGTGCGCGGCGAGGGTATGTATGGCTGAGGAGTAGGATCAGTCGTGAGCGCACCCCCAGCTAGGGGACCGGTGGACCCCCTAGTTGGGAGACAAATGCACACTTACCCAGGGACAGGGGGCTCTCCCTGGGCGGACCTCTTATTTCCCCCATACTCGTGGGAATAACATGGAAGACTTAAACCCAACTAAAAAAAAAAACATACCACCAAAAGTGCAGGAGAGGGCAAGCCAGCTTGCAAGTGGAAGCGAGAGCCAAGATGGCACTCGGACCTGTGGGGAGACGCTGGTTCCGTCCAGCAAGTCCCGGGCAAGGGCACAGGGAGGAAAGGAGTCGGATTCGGAGTCCGACTCATCGTTGTCTGGCGTCAGCATTGCGCTGCGCCACAAAAAGGACCGGGGCGTTTTCAAACGTCCCAGGTTGGAGGACGGTCGAGAGCCGTCCTCCAACGAGCAGGAGGCCCCAGCCCCCAAAATCCCCACGGCTGCGCGGGGTAGGGGCAAGGGGAAGGGCTCCACAAGAGCGGCTGGGAGCCGCTCTGAGCCGGCAGAGCGGCTGGCAGCGGAGGGGAGCGCCCTGGGAAAGGCTGCCCCCTCGGACTCCTCGGAGATGGAGGTGTCCGGAGGTGAGGATTCTGTAGGCGGCGCTGAGAGCCTCCGCCTCCAGGTTAAGGAAGCACTCCGCATGCTGGCTGGGCAAAAAACCCAGGCTGGCAGGAACGGAGTGCTTAAGCACGCGGAGGCTGCTATAATGTCGGCGGTATCCCAGCAGGGCTCAGCAGAGCGGCAGATGACCGCTCTGCAAAAAGAGATGGCCGGAATGAGGCGCGAGCTGGCCCGATTAGCGGCTGCGAACTCTGCCCTGGAGGCGGAACTTCGTGCAGCAAAGGCGGAACTCGCCGCTGCTCGCGCGGGTCGTCCCCAACCCTCGCAGCCAGTGGAGGCCGACCTTCTTGGCCTCATGCGGCAGGAGATGGCCGCCTTCCAGCAGCGTTTCGACGCTCTGGAGGGTAGGCTCCTTCGACCCCCGCTCGCAACTGGCACTTATGCAGCCGCGGCAGCGAAGACGAAGCAACCACCTAGCCGCGGCGTCAGAGCTGACGCTCCGGTGGAGAAAAGGGCGAAAGTGCCCCCTGCGGCGAATGCACCGAGAGCCCCGCCGCTGACGAGGACGCCCATAGCTCAACCGGCACCGGCTCCTGCTGTGCCTCTGGCACCAAGTAGCCGCAAGCGAAGGGGCGCAGCAGCTGAAATTCCAGCCGTTGCAGCCCCAACCCCGCTATCAGAGCTGCGCACCGATGGCGACGAGTGGCAGGTGGCCGGGCAGGCGAGAAGGAGCGCCAAAGAGGCGAGGAAGCGCCGCAAGAAGGAGCAGCGGCAGCGGCGGCAGCAGCGACGCAGGGAGAAGCGCGCTGCGGCAATGCTCCTCACCCCTAAATCTTCGGCTGTAGTTATCACGCTACAGCCGGACGCGGCTAAGAAGGGGGTGACTTACGGCGACGTCCTCGCCAAATTGAAGGGGACGGTTACTCCCGCGGAGTTCGGGGCCCCTAACGGGTTCGCGGTAAGGGTCACCGCGACTGGAGCCCGTCTTCTGGAGGTCCCCGGCGCGGCCAGCGGTCCATCCGCTGACGCCCTTGCCGAGAGGCTCAGGACGTGCCTTGCGGCGGATGAGGCTCGCGTGTCCAGGCCCACCAAATGCTTGGAGCTACGCATCATGGGCCTGGATGACTCCGTGACGGAGAACGAGGTGGCGGCCGCTGTCGCAAGGACGGGGGGGTGCCCTGCTGATCAGGTGAAGGCAGGCACCATCCGCCCGGACAATACGGGGCTGCGGACCGTGGTAGTGAGCTGCCCCGTCACAGCGGCCAAAAAACTGTCGGAGGGCAAAAGGCTCCTGGTGGGCTGGGTTTCGGCGCAGGTGAAGCTGCTGGAACCCCGACCTTTGAGGTGCTTCCGCTGCCTCATTGGTCACCATGTGGGTGCCAAGTGCACCTCAGAGGTGGACCGCAGCGACCGCTGCTTCCGCTGCGGTCAGCCCGGTCACAGGGCCGGCGCTTGTACCGCCCCGCCGCACTGCGTAGTATGTGCGGCGGCTGGCAAGCCGGCCGATCACCGGGCTGGGGGCAAAACCTGCTCCCCCCCCACCAAGCCCAGGAGCAAAGGTAGGCCTGTAGCCACCTCCACCGCTCCCACCGTCGCTCCCGCTGCCGCCGCAGTCGCCAACACCCCTGCGACTGCTGCTGTCGCCGCTGCCGTCAGAGAGGAGGTCGTGATGGATACCCAATAATGGCTCCATTACGCCTCCTCCAGGCGAACATCAACCACTGCGTCGCTGCTCAGGATCTCCTGCTCCAGAGCATGGCGCAGTGGTCGATCAATGTTGCTGTGGTCTCCGAGCCGTACTTCGTTCCAGCCAGGGAACACTGGGTGTCAGACCTGGACGGCTCGGTGACCATCATCTCGTCGGCCGCCGCCGGTACCCCAACCCCCGAAGGGCCTCAGCGAGGCAGGGGTTGCGTCGCGGCTCGGTTCGGAGAGATCGCCGTGGTGGGCGTGTACTTCTCTCC